GCGGTGCAATCTCCGCGACCTTCGCCGCGCACCGTGCTGCAAGCCCTTCATCCCAGGGGCCAGCAAGTGGAGCGATGAAGCAGTTGCTCGTCCTCAATAAAAGTGCCGCGAGTTTTGGGCCCATGAGAACACTCGGTAAAAGATGTTGATGAACCGAATCCTCCGAGTTATTCCACCTATATCACCAGCACAGGCAAGGTAGATCCCATGATTCTTGTTGGTGACAGAACTCTGGAAGTCCAACAAGAAAGGGTTCAGGCACGCAGATTAAAGAGCCCCACCTGCAGAGCATCCTTGGATGATCCCAGAGCATACGAGGAACATCCACACCATCATTCCTCCGAGAATACCGCAGCGCTGCAAGTGCTGGTAGAGAACGGAGAAGAAGCACACCATCGGAGAGGGGGTCGCTATGCCGCCGAATACCTTCATCTGCCAGGAGCGGGCGACAGGGGAAGGCCTGGGAGAAGTCGTAGGAGAGGATCGCGGTGAGGTCCTCGGAGGCGACAGGAGAGAGGGCGGCAATCCTGGCGTGCCCGTCTGAAACACTGATGTTGCTTCCAAGCTGCCGCCCAATCGCAAAGCCGCGCTGCAACGGCGAGCTAGTCTCGGCCATCCTGACGGCAAAGTGGCGGACAACCAGGCTCGCGAGAATCCTGTTCTCTGAATTCTTCAACCCCAAGGACGTTAGGGACTGGACATCGCGCAGCGCACATTGTTCGTCCACTTCTTCCTCCCCCTTCGGCATGAAGATTCCCAGTAGCGAGTTGAATCCAGAAAATGTCCAGTTCCCTCCAGAACCCAATGTAAGCATTCATCCAAGAACTCCGCAGCTCCAGGTGCCACCTCCCAGGCAGCGCATGGATGCCTCTGTCCCAAGGGCGGAGTCTTCCAATCGCTCAAGACGGCCACGGACATCTGAGAGTCGGGGTGGGGAAGACCTCCCAGAAGTCCATTTCCCCTCCAAAACGACCTAGGCATTGATAAGCAGCTCCTGCCATGAACATGTCATTTCCGACTACCTCCGGCAAGTGCCTCCCAATGGCAGACTGCATCCCCGCAGTAGTGGTAATGATATCCGAACCAAGCTTGATACCTCGCAAGTGCAGACGCCGATCGAATGGGGCCCAGATCGCGGCCCTCCTCCGAAGTCTTTCCTCCCGCTGTCGCCTTTCCCCCCAAACGTTCTCAGGGAACCCCTGGGCGGCCTCGGGGTCCAGGGCAGCCTTCTGGGCCTCAAGGTCGGCGGCATGCAATTGATCGAGCTGCTCGGAAAAAAAAGACAGGGTTGCGCAGCGCCGGGACGCCCGGGCAGGAGTCGAGC